GTGCTTATTGACCGATCGATAGGTTACGCACCTCACCTGACGATCTGCACCTGAGGTGCGTCAGCTGTGATCTGAGGTAAGCGTTAGTCTGAGGCACAACATATACATGTAATTAAATTAAATATATTCGCATAATTAAATATACTGTAATGTGCATAATTAAATATACTGTAACTATATAATGTATTAGCTTTATACATTTCCTTTTCCGAATAAAGGCCTAATTAGTTCCATAGATTTGTAAGATAGTATAACAGATAAGAGAATCTGTGTAAGTGTGCGTGCGTAACACCACCAAAGCGATATCGGGGTTCAAGATGCGCCGAAAAAATGCCATACCTAAATTTTTTTGTCATTTCAAATTATTTTAAACATTATTTTCAATATCTTAAAAAATCGAAAGAAATGGCACAAAAAACATATAAGATGGAGATTGATGAAAGTAGTAATGAAACCGATGGAGACAATAATGAAACAATTTTAGTTCTCAAGTCAGTAATGCAAGAATTGGACCTCACCTTAAGGTGTGCAACGCTAGTAAATCAATCAATATTGTATAATTAAGATTGGATTTTTTTTGACATACGAATTTACATAGCAGATATTTGATATGAATTCGCACTAATTAAGGTACATGCGTATGCACGTATGTTTTTTTTTACATGATTGACAGACTAAACCTCAACCCGATGTGATTAGCTAGTGATCGTAATAGTGCAATTCGAATATGCAAATTATGGATGCAAATTATGGATTAGCTAGTAAACATGACGATGCACATTTATTATAATCAATCAAAATAACAATTACAATTAATATTTGAGCGATTCAGTAATATTTTTCTATTTATAAATGTCGTCGTCACTAGATTTGGGTTTTCGTTGAAATTCGGATGTTGTACCAAATGAAAGAATTATCGGCGAAATAGTTGAATTTGTTGCCATATGAATAAAGGCTAGCAGATGGTGAGTATCCGGAACTGTTTTTTGACCTTCTGATATTTTTAGTATAAGGAATAAAATAATACTCCGTTGATGCTAAAAGTTTGGACAAATAGTAGTATATGATTTAGTAAGTAGTGGTGTATATGTTAAAATTAGCAAATACGTGTGTATGTTTAGTGAGGTAATAGCTGTGTATAAAGTAAATCGTTATAGTATATAAATGCATATAAAATTTATGCAAACGCGGTGTTGCGAATAGTTGGTGACCTACCTTGTTTAGTGCATCGAAAGTGCATCATTTTAGGTACAGTCAGACCTCTCTAAATACAATCTCCCTAAATTCACGCACTATGAAAAGCCTCCTTAAATACACGTCTTCCCTTGGGCCCAACTAATATAACACAGATTTTTATCTCCCTAAATGCAATACGTTTGACTCAATTTTTGCATATGGTCCCGCCGCAATGCATTTAGAGAGGTCTGACCGTGCAAAAAATTGGTCATCCCAGTAATTTTGACCAATCCAAATTTAAGATTAGGCGTCTAAGAGCTACGTGTAAAATGAAACCAAGAAACCGTGTTATGGTTAGAATTAGAAAAATATAGCGCTTGTTAGTAAAACATCACGAGGAACATTTTTTAATTAGGCCGCAAAAGGTTTTCCTAATTAAAATTTAGTTATTGTTTTTTTTGTAAAAGTGGTTACACCTGATCCTGGTCAAAATTACAGGTGAACAATTTTTCGTAGGGGTGTCGGGTGCATCGAGTGTAACCCAGATTCGCATAAGGAGAACTTCTTCCTGCGTTGTAAAATTTCCAATTATATTAAGTAATTGGAAAACTTTACTTTGTATTCGCAACGCAGGAAGAAGCTCACCTTATGCGAACCTGAGTTACGCTCAACGCACCCCCGATGCACTTTCAATGCACTAAACAAGGTAGGGCAGCTGTTGAAAATCAACAAAGACCACTGCTTGATTGAGTAAAGTAGTAGTATATACTATAAAATCGCATTTGAGTATATATTGTGCGTGAAATTAGAATGGATGTGGATTTAAAATGAAGGACAATTCTAGGCATCTCTGGCCAGATATGTTTAGCTTATATATCTCTGGCCCGAAGCTATGCCCGATCATATAACTTAATTAGAGTTAGAGTTATATAAGGTTAGGGCAAAGGCAAGTCATATAAGCAAAATCGTCTTCCCGACACTTTTAATTAGTGTACCAAAATAGGGGATCGTCTAAAGCCGTGTCCATCACGTGACTTAAAGCCAATAGAATTGTTTATTTTGATCGACACGGATCAGCCCGAAG